AAAAAAGAGTCCCCATTCGGCACCCGTCCTAATAAAATATGGGCCAACTGCTAAAACAAGCTTCATGCTAAAACTGCCTAGAAATTGACTTTATTAAAGCATTATAATACACACATTAGGCACTAAGTACCAATCAAATATGTCAGATATTCTTGTTAAAGTCTCTTCTTGTTCCATCTCCACCATTCATTTCTCTGACCATGACAATGATCCTATCTGGGCACCTTTGTCTTCTCTCTAATGATGTCCATTGTTATTATATTAATAGCATTAAATTAATTTAACTCTTTGTTTACTAAATAATTGAATTCACCAAGGGGCTAGCTAGTTTGTTACAAATATATAAAGGCTTTGCTAAGTGCAAATTGAACTGAACAATGGAAAGTCACCGGAACTTGCCAACAAACACGGTCGGTTTTTGCCTACTTCCATCTGAGCTCATACAACATATATTTCTTCATCTAACTTTACCCGACATTATCCGAATAAAGTCTGTTAATAAATCGATATTATCTATAATTTCGGACAAAGAATTTGTTCGAAATTATAATCTCCAATCAGCCTCGACCTTTGCAACTTGGCTATTTATTTACAAGAAGAGATGGCATAGAGATGCAATTCTTCATGGTTTTGCTGATTGTTCAAATCAATGGTTCAAAATAATGATTGGAGAGCTGTTGAAAAAGGTGGTTCCACCTGGTGAAGATGTTTATCTTCTTGCAGCATCAGGTAATTTCTTTCTCTTTGCCTTGAATACTAGCCAGCAACTCATTTCAGTTAATCATGTGACAAGGGCTGTTAAAAAGATCCCTCCAAGTCCACTTGGTCCACGTGGCACGTCCTCATGGAGACGATCCGGCATGAAATTACTCTCCTACCCTCCCGGATCAAATGATTTTCAGTTTTTGTTTGCGGAATTAAATGAAAACCGTCCAATTTTATACGAATACGATTCTCAAAGTGACAGTTGGGTGTCTAGAGAAGCAAGAGAAAATGATGGGAATTTGTCACGTGGCTTTGAAACATCGAATGGTTGCACTTTCGTAAGTGCGTGTAATGCACGGAGTGTAAGTGTTGTTATTGCCACGGGAAGTCAATATGAAACACCCATCGTTTTGCGTTCGAGATTTTCCAGAGTAATAAACGAGGAGGGACAATTAGCTATTGGATTTAGTCGGGAGAATTCCGTCGATCAACTAAACATATATGGTGATGGGAAAATGATGATCGTTAGATCAGACAGTATTCATGATGCAAACAGAAAGGTGCGAGTGATGACAGGAGTAGAGTTACGGGGGTTGAGCAACAATGGAAGGCATTGGGAATATATTACAATGGTTCCCAGTGAATTAATTGAGCAAATAAAGAAGCCATACGGGGCAATGATGGGGTGTTTACAGCAAAGAGATGGGATAATTAGGGCAATTTTGATGTCTAATTTGGAAGGTATATGGGACATCACTTGGTTAAGCTATGATATTTTGAATAAGGATTGGAGTCGGGTTGTAGTGCCAGAATGCAAGATGAAGGGTTCAAACATGGCTGGAATTGCCCTATCCTCGGCTCTCACTCTGTCTAATTAGCTGAATCTATCAATTTTCATTCTACGTTCTCCATGGAAAATACAAAAATGTTAATCAATACTCATTGTTGAGGTGTTTAATATTTTGTACTCAACTACACATACTAAAATTAAAGATTAAAAAAAGTCAAAATATTTCCATAATATTGTTCATTGTTTCAAACATGCTCCATGTATCCGTGTTACCAAATCCATTAATGACAAGCTCCTCAAGTCCATTGTGGAAATCTTATTTTATAAGTTGACGAAGGTTAACATTGAGCTAATATTGAAGATAGAACTGCAAATCAACTTTTTTGGGGTCAAGTTCGAACTTGAACTCTTCTACACTGAGATGACCATTATTTATTTGATTAATATTACTTTCACGTCAATGAGAAACTTATCTTTAGGTGATATAAAATTTGAAATAAATATTAACGTGACTTTATCATGAAAAACTGAATAGAGAATGAAAAAAACGAATATCGTTTTCAAAATTGGGGAAGAAACTATTGAATGATTTATAAAAGGGAAAATTAGGCCACGTACCCTATAAAAATAAGTATTTTGATTATTATTTTTTAAACTAATTAAACATTTTAATCAAGTAACAATTACGTCCTAGTCTTAAATTATTAGCTAAGCCTCAATCAACCTAAATTAACCCGATAGAAACCCATTCCTCATCCTTAGAAATGCTCCCTATTCTAGAGTCGATTTCTCCATCTCCGAGAAACCTCAACTTGAAATCTGCGTTTCCGACCATTTTCCATCGATTTTGTCGACGTCTTCCTCCGTCTCCTTTCATCTTCACTCTTCTCATTTTCATTTCATGGAGATCTTAAACATCTACCCTAAAAAACCCAAAATAGCCAAAAGACTAACCTGTACCGATCAAAATTCAAAAATTTGAGTCAAATTTTAACTTATTCTCATCGACACCGATTCTGACACTTAACTCCGAATCATATTTCTATAATGGTTGGAGAAAGTGGGTTGAAGAGGAAGATAAAATTGATGAAGAACCATTTTCAAAGAAAAAGAATAGAGTTTCATCAACATTTTATAAACCTAAGGTAGCCAACATTTTTCACTGCAAAATTGAAATAAATTTAGTTGTTATTGATGATTGTTGCCATTATTTATGATGCTTCTGAACACTTGATTAATTGGGAGTTTGTCACTCTGAGTTTGAGGAGTTGAGAACTAGACTATTAAGGCATATACGTTGAAAAGCATTATAGGTTAGTTTGTTGCCTGATGCTAAACATTAATGTTGCATGAACCTTGTGTCTTCTCATTCTCTGGCACAACACATTTTTTCCTCTTTATATAGGAAAATTTTTCCTCCATTTATTTTCATTTGTGCTTATATTAATGTATTCGTCTTTCCCCAATAGTGAAGAAAAAATATAGATTTTTATATATAAGTTAACACGACTCTTGAGTTTACGTGGAAAAAAAAAACTCAAGGTACTTTTTGTTGAGTTTATGTAAAGATTTTGTTAAAAACAGACAAAAACTCAACAAAAATGCATATAATGTTGTGAGGAAGAGTAAGGAAACTGAGAATCCCATTCATTTGTAGATTTCTCTTGAGTTCACTAGAAAGATCTTTTAGTATTAGTTATGAGTATAGATATATTTTCAAGCAACACTATAATGAACTGGGCAAACTTCACTATATCTATTGACTTGATGGATTCATTCCAGAACTCTACTTTGTGTTTGTGTTTGATAAATGGTTCTGTTCACTTTTTATTGAGTTTTTGCCACTTTTTCGACTTATTGTCACTTTTTCGTGAAAATGCCTTTTATGCATGATTTTTATGTGAATGACCTCTCTGTTAAGCAAAAAAGGGATTACAATGGAATGCCTTCTCTTGATGCGAAACCCTATACCAGATGTGGATTATTGTTGTTTCCTGATTAAAGGAAAACATGTGGGTTATTACATTTTTAGACAGAGCCCCCCTTTGTCTAGCATTAACTGACCTAATCCATTTTATAGTCATTTTTATCTTGCTCAGTAAAGGTTCACCATTTTATTCTTTTTTAGCTCTCCCATATCTTTGTAATTGTCCAATTCTGCTTGAGTCATCAAGTTTTGCATTTCCTTATGTTTGCATAGTGTGTATGCTTTCAGTAAAAGTCTCACCCTAGATTGATCTTACTCAGAAAACTCTCTAATTTTGTAGGTGATATATATGCCTCTTGTTTTGAGTAGATAAACAGCTGGAGTTTCAATATTCACTGATGCTATCGACTTTGGTGTTGAAATCTTATTACTATTCATTGATGAGCATTTGTCAAAGTGAACTGTGTATGCCATAATATTTGTGTCAAAGTTGACTTACTCGATTGAATTGTTTTTGTTTTTCATATTTAAAAATTTGTATTCCAGATTATCGTAATTGTAAGGAAAATCATAAAGGGCCCATAAAGGTTGCATTGTAAACGATGAATTTCAAGGGTTTAATTTGATTGGTTTGCCTTTATAAATGCTATTGATTTGTGAAATAGAATAATTTTACCGCTATATCATCTTTGATTAAACAAATAGATTGAAAATTGTTGCTATCTCTAAATTTCTATCAAAAGTCTTAACAAAGTAAAATAGATACTAATTATTCAACGATAAAATCATCATTATACTATTTTTGTCACTCTTTTTTCAATTTCTGTCACTTTTTTTTTATGTTTGTCACTTTATTTTTATTTTTTTTTATTTATGCTACTTTTTTGAGTGTTTGTCACTTCTTTGCTTTCTATGGGCTTTTTTAAATGCTTCACTTTTTTGAGTTGGTCACTTTTTTTTTTTTTTTTTTATTTTTTTTTTTTTTTTTTTTTTTTTTTTTTTTTTTTTTTTTTTTTTTTTTTTTTTTTTTTTTTTTTTTTTTATTTTTTTTTTTTTTTTTTTTTTGTCTCTTTTTTTTAT